CCTTGTCACCTCATTTGACCTAAAACTGCTCTAAACGCTGGGTGTACATTTTCAATACACTCAATTATGACCGCAGTTTTTTTTTTTTTTTTATGCTGTGTTTATTCTTTCTTTTCAGCCGGATTATCTTCTACTGTTATGTTTGTGCCGTTTTTGTAATTCCTCTCTCCAATTTGCACTCGCAAAAATTACAAATCGGCGAAATGTATGCAAGTACACGTATGAATATGTACATATATATGTGCTTATATGGACAAAACACGCAAACGTGCGATGTACATGCGGGGGATTTTTCCGTACCATTAAATATTTATATGCAAACTGCCGCATACAAACGTACGCTCAAAAGGTGACAAAATGAAACAAAGTAAAAACCGTAGCATTTGCCAAAAAAAATAATAATGTACTTCCATTCGAGCAATGTTATAAAGAACATGCCTTGCTTCTAATTAATACAAAAGAAAAAAAGTTGTGTACAATGTGCGCAAGGAAAAAAAGGCTATTCGTGAAAATAAGCGCACACTTTAACACAACTATGGCGGTGAACATTTATCATAATACACCTTATCGTTGCAGCGCAGTAGTTTTACCCACTGTTACGAAATTTTGACACACGGCTACCACATATTTTAGGCACATATACAATGAGCAATGCTGCCAAATGCTGCTCCATATAGCCATGATGAAAAAAAAAAAAAAAAGCAACCATAACAAAAAAGGATGATGCATGTTGAGTCTAAAAATGTAACTAAACAGGTCTGTTTCGCTGATACAGCAAAACATGGTGGCACTGTCTATTTGGCGCAATATTTTTCTGCTTAAATGTGTGTATTCACTGTATTCGCTCATTTATTTATCCAATCATATGCGTTGGTCTTTTTCTCTTACCTTTGTAATGATGCGAAGAAAATTGTAAAAAGGGTAGAGCTCAAAAGGGGAAAAAAAGTTCAGTCCAGTTTGTCATATAAAACTTCGGATAGTTATGCGCGCCCACACCACATGGTGATGTTTGAAAGAGGTCTTATGCACACCAGGCGAAGGTATGTCCTCACCACTACAACTTTTGTGAGCGCTGGTATTATTTGCTCCTTTCAGTTGCACTAACAATTTAATCAGGGCATATGTTGTGCGCATGTTGTGTGAGTTACAATTGCACACAACGGGATGAAGCAGTCATATAAATTTTGTATGTATTGTTTTTTACATAAAAATACAATCAATTTTTTTGCACGTGTGTTATTAGCTTCCAAATCGTTCAAATAAAAGCATTTAAGTGTGAAATATTGAAGTTATTATTTTCTATGTTTCGTGAAAGGGGGTCTGTGACTTCGTCTTTTTTTTTTTTTAAAGTAGTAAAATAATAAAATCCCCTTTTGCTTTAAAACAGGATTTTTCTTTTTCCTTAAGCGTATTTTTTACTGTTCATAAAATACATGAACGGTTCATAACTTTTTGCATATTTAACTATTTTTTTTTTTTTTTTTGAATGCAAAAAAAGCTACCTCATGTAGACAAAACCTTGGTTCGTCTTTCCAGGGGGATAAAAAATTGTGGTTATCCTTTAAAATTTGAAAAAGGCCACTTTTGCATTCCGCCGGGGGCAAAATGCAGCTAAGAAATTGTGTCAGTTGAGTTGTTTTAAGTATATGGATAACTTTAAGTGCATAACCTTATGCATATCGACCAAATGACGGAAACGCGCATGCTTGTGGAAAGACCGTATACAGATTGAGAACAAATTGCCTGTATCTCGTTAATCATATTGTAGGGGGAAAAAGAAACTATTTCACATTTACACCAAACGTGCACAGGTGCAAAGAAGAACATAAAGGTCTACACAAGGGCGTTTTTTTTTAACAAAAGCGCAAACATACATATGCGCTGGCACGTATTTTGTAAGGATGTAAAGCCTCCCCGGGGACTAATATATATAAGACGCATAAAATGGAGATAAATATTTGGTCAACACGTTCGCTCCGCAGCAAAACCCATATCAAGTCTTATTCAAGCAGCAATGCTACCAATCATTAACACCATGGAGGTCACATTCCACGTTTATATTTATGTCCCCATTCTTATGCCTTTTTTTCGATGATGGATTAATCATATTCATAGCAAAACTTTTGGGCATAGCGGGGTTGGTCATATACAATGCCCACTGGTATGCACGTATAATTTTACGCGGTCAATGTGTCAACGGACAAAAGGGACTCACACTTTTTTACGTCCATATAAAACCAAATAATATGTACCATTCCTGCAGTTTTACCCCCAACTGAGCAAAGAAAAAAAACATTTATTTCATTTTTTTCGCCGCGAGGAGGAAACCCTGCGCTTGTAGATAAAATAAATGTTGTATACAAATCAGCAAAATTCGAATGAATATTTTTAAAACAGCGTTGCACTTACGCGACGTTGACTTTTTCAAAATCGTACGACTTTGGTGGCACCCCCGTCGGAATTTTTCCTGCAGTTAGCGCGTGACTTAAAATATAATAAAAGGGAACCACAGAAAAAAAAAAAAAAAAAAAAAATAAATGAATTAAAAAATAATTGCTTAAATCACAGTTAAGCTAGTTAAAAAAAAAAAAATTGGAAAAATTTTTCATCCTGGGATATGACTCTTGAAAAGAATGCAAACACGCCTTTGCAATGTACGCAAAGTCGTATGTAATATTTTTTTCCCATTTAAGAAAAAGTATCCAAATATGCCCCTAGTCACATAGTGAAGAGAAAAAAGCAACAACGATGGCATTAAAAGAAAAAAGCGCTTTAAACAAGAAAAAAAAATTAGGAAGCTCAAAAAAGGTTAAGAAGAACAATGGACTGAAGCTAAAAAAGGGATCACTACTTAAGAAGAAGAAAAAGAACAATAACAACAACGACCACGAAGACGACGACAATAGGGAGATGGACAAATTAGATGAGTTGTACAAACTGGAAATTAAAAACTACCAAAAAAAGGGAAGGAAGAGAAAAAAGCAATATAATGCAAGTGAAGAGGAATTAGACTCCTCAGATGATAATTGTGACCTTCTGAATAACGACTACAGTGATATAGAAGAAATATCCAATCAAGTTAAAGAGCAAGTTAGCTTATATAAATTTTTACTAAGAACGAGAATATTAACGCAAAAGGTTTTGTGCCTATCGAATAAACTCCCCTTATTACCATTCGTTGCATATAATGAAAAATTAGAAGATAAGGAAAAACAAAATAAAAACGGACATGTCCAAGGTGCAGAAAATTGCACCACCGTTAACGATTCGCTAAGTGATATACACGTTAATGAAGAAAAATTAAAAAACGATATTGGTGAACTACTAACCGTGTTACATAATTTGCTAAAAAATAAATTCATCAAGTCAGATATTCCAGTAAATAAAAACGCCTACAACGACGTAAACATAATTTGTGATGAAGATGATAAACCCTTTTTCGAAAAGAGGACAAAACTATATGAGCAAGATACAACCGAAAGTGAGAAGAAACTTTTTTCAGTAATTGATACATGGTTTAAATACTCCAAAAAAATGTGCTTAAACTATTTTGACATTATGCACAAAATAACCAAAATAAGTTCCGTGAAAAGTTTAAAAACGTATGAACAGCCTATTTCTTCACAAATCAGTCAAGTCATGTTTGACCTGCCTTCCTTGATTCAGAGTTCCTGTCCACAGACCATAAATTATCATGTTGTGGGGAAAGGACTCTACGACCACCTCTACGGTGATGAGTCAAATTTTAACTTGAGCCAATACATTTACGACGACGAGGTGAGATGGACGATGCGCACTTGCTATATACCATTCGCATGTGTGCTTCATTTATTTGCAATTATGTTGCTAGGAAACACCCCTACATTGTTACACTCCCCCTTTCGCGTTCTTCATTCCTCCATTTTAGGTTTACTACAAGAAGTTTCTCCTGAACGCTATCCAAAATTTGAAGGATAATCAGTAATAATGAGCGAATGTTGTGTGTGCTCACCCAGGCTGTGTGTTTGGTGGCATACCAACGCACAAGTGTAAATGGTACACGCACTCATATCCTTACTTATGTACCACCACCACCCCTTTTTTCCACGCAGGGAAGACAGCGAATTGTTGAAATCACAACGGGAAATTTACAAAATAAAAAAAAAATGTAACAAGAAAAAATGAGGAAATGCAATTGTTGCCTTTTGTGTATTTGCGCAATTTTTTTTTTTT